TTGGACATTCGAGTTTGTCTACTTCAAACTGCGAATTTGGGCTTTTTGTGAAGATGGTGCCAGTAAGAGTATTATTGTGTCTGGTACTTCCAACTGTAACTACGCTCTCACGATTTATTACCACGTATTGCGTGAAGTTGTTGCAAGCGTTGATACGGCTATGGGCACGGTCTCGCAAGGTCCTATTCAAGGCTGACTTTGATAACTTCGTAATGTAATTCTTATTAACCACATTTATTTTTAAATATACGTGACCCAATCAAAATTAAACGCTTTCTCCGATAATCAGACAAAGCAAAAACCATACGATCGCTACTACAAAATGCTGTCAAAGAGCGATTTTGTTCAAGGCAAAAAGCTGAAGGCTCTCATTCAAAACGAGTCGTTGGATGATGCAAGTGCTGATTCACTTGCGAATTGTTTCAGCAAGTAATGGGAAGAATCGTGATTATGAGTATGATCAAATCACACAAAAAAGCTATCGAAAGGTCCTAAAGGTCCTCCTGAAATTATCAAAGGTGAAGTGAAACTCCCAAATCTAGTAAAAAGAAGCATACATACGTTCCGCAATCTACTGATGCAGAGGCTAACATGGAAAAGCCCACTGCGCCTGAAGAATCATTCGAGGATTTCTTCAATGGAGTCAATGATGTAGCACATAAGGTAGTTAATACTCGAGCATACATGAAATGAAAAAAGACTTTGAGAGAGGTGGTGGATGACCACGTTCTGAAATATCTAAACAAGCGAAGAGAGTTTAGAAAAGAGGATTCGAATCTAAGACGTCGAGAAATGGCCGATAAATTTGCTGATGAAGTCATGAAAGAATCGTTAAAGCTTTTGAAACGAAAACGAATTGATACTCCCCCTAATAAATCTCCCACTGATAAGCGAGCTACAAAACCAACTGGTAAGCGAGACGAGGACATTAGTCGAAAACTATTTGAGCAATCAGATGATGAGCAGAGCAGCGACGACAAAGAAATAAAAGAAGAGAAGAGATAACGTGGGTTGAATGCTGGCATAAAAAAGTTTATACTGATGATATCAACAGCTACAAAAATTAATTTGCAGCAAAATTGTACGAAAATATCCGACATAGATTTGGCGAAGCTGTCGAGCAGCGAAAAGGCAAGGACTATTTTGAAGACAATGCTCCTAAACCGCCAAGGAAACACAAAATGAAACGAGATGCTATGAATCAATACAAAGCTGAATTGAAAGGTTGGCTCGATGGGATCTTTATCTAAACTAAATGTTACTAAATTTTTTATACTCGATTCAAGTTTTTCAATGCGACTAATCAATTGCTTGATTACAGCAACATTTAGTACAGCAATAGCGTTACAATCCATACCTAATTGCAGCCCTTCAATATCTCCTCCTTCTTCCACTTTCATTAAATGTCAATGCTTCTCCACACACCTTGGCAACATCTTAAACAATTAAGCCAATTTTAGTCTTATCAGGTTGATTCTTGTAATTGTAGCTACTTGGCTTTAGAAGCTTGTACCTCCCAATATCCAAATCGATTTCTTTAA